GCGACAATAATGGATACAAACAGAGACTCGGCCCACCAGTCCCAAAACGAAGACGATTTTCCTACCTTTTCCCTTGGGCTAGAGTTCTTAAATGAGGCAGAAAAAGAGAAAAACAACGGAAAAGGAGACTCAGCATCAGCGCCGTCACGATTCGCTTCACTGTCCGAGCGTGAAATGCAACAATTTTTGACAGAAAGACACTCTGGTAAAACCAAACAAATGACAAACTGGTCTGTTTCAACCTTCAAAGGTAAGCGTAAATTTTTCCGAGCTTAAAACTCGAGCTTTCAACAGAAAATTTGAAATAAAACCAATTCCTATTTTGCTTAATATTTCGCTTACCGCGAACAATCACTTCTGATATTATTGTCCGTTTTTCGCGTCGGATTTGATGCACAATTCCACCGGCTATGTTATAAAACAATTGGTTTATGCTTTTAGCTGTGCACTAACGAGTTATGGAGCACGTGGGAAGTTTGGAGAGCATGAAAGAAGCGTAAGAGTTGCCCGAGGCAATAGCCGAGGGCAACTCTAGCTTCTTGACTCAACTGTTAAATAAACTGTCTCTTTTAACTATTGCATAGATGATAAATTCAAAGAAAACATATGAGCGTTTTCCTAACAGCGAAATTGTTAAAAGTAATATGCTCCGACAAAGATTATGCTGATCTTTATAATCTCTTGGCACCGAAGACTTACGAAATGGCGTATACAAGAGGATTTGTTTCGAAAACAAACATGATTCCTTACGTTCCGCAACGTTGTTCAGTCAATTTATATGAAAAAAGTTTCAAATTGCACTTGCATTTAATCGAAGAAAAGGCCTACTGGTAGAATAAATCTATCTCCTAAAAACTGGTATTAGTTTGAAACCTAAATCCTACAATCAATGAGCAGATATTCTGTCAAAACAATTTTCTCCTCCTTGAGGTCTATATGCCTCCTTTCAATCATACGATTGGCTCTTATTGAGGTTTAGAGCTAGTTACAAATAATGATTCTGATCATAATGATGGCGCGCTCGATCAAAATTTTGAAAACTAACCGAGCATCGTGTCAATCATCGTGCGCGCGATAAGAGGTATCACTCTTTTAAATAATGCGCTTCACTCGTGAAGACATTAGTGGGAAAAGTGCTTTTTGGACTGAAATTGTGCTTTCATGGCATTTGTTATTACATCGAGTCTATAACCGTGATAACTTACTTGTTTTAACCTTTCCTGCGTGTCCACTCCTAGTGTATGTACCAGTGAAGAAATGTAAAATGGTTTCCGTGTTTACATAGCCTGATGTAAACACTTGGGAGGTTGGGAGAACACGAGATAAGCGTAGGAAACCACGACGCGAAGCGAAGTGGTTTCCAGCTTATCTCCGATGGAATAATACACATCATCAAGTTATTGACACCCGGTGTATTTGATGATTTCCACTTCCAATGGTTGCCAATAGACTTCCAGTTTTCCGATGGAAAAAATATTTTTTCCGATGGAATCTATTCGTGTGTATCGGACAACCCTAAAATTTACCTGCCTGCCCCCCCCCCCCCCCCCCCCCCCCCCCCCCCCCCCCCCCCCCCCTCCCTCCCCCGGCCAAGGCCCTGTAGTACCAGTATTCTAAGGATCCTTCCCTCGTCTCTTTCTCTGTCGTTTGTCACCTCGTGTGCGAAACAGGACCTTCGAGTCCACTAGACCTCTTATTATAAAAATGCAAATTTATTCTTCTGATTAGGACTACATAATCCTGTCCACACTCGTCCGAATAAGTCGTCCAGTGATGACGAACTTTTACAAGGTTATCCGACGTAATGTAAACGGTAAACATTCCATTCGTTTTCCCAATAAGGCCAAAAGTTATTGCAGCGTTTTCGAGGTAAAAACGCCGTTTTCAAATTCGAAGTGTAAACCTGGCCTACATACAGTAAATCTCAAAGAAATAGTCACTGGAAAATAATTAATATCAAACCAGATTATATTAAATTGAAGATTTGATGTGAACCGACTTTAAATTCGTGTCATCTCCTTTTCCTCCTCCTTTTCGCCTTTTTCGTTGTTTTCTGTGTGTTTTGCCGTAGAAGTGTGCTATCCGTTGTCAGTGTTTTCACCTCTTCAATAATTGGCTTAACAAGTCCTTTCACCGGTTTTGTGATAACAAAATTCTCTTCTGTAACATGGCCACAGTCTATTTCATGGGTTGCAATTTCATCAGAGTCTCCACAAATATCCTCATTATTTTCTTCTGAAGATTCTTCGTTGCTGTCGCTCTGGGTTTCCACTAATGCAAGATTCTATGCA